ATATATATATATATGTATATATATGTATATATTATATATATATATATATATATATTATATATATGTATTATAAGAAAAAATGAAAGCAAATGAGCAAGAAAGAGAGAGAGAGAGAGAGAGAGAGATAGAGAGAGAGAGAGAGAGAGAGAGAGAGAGAGAGAGAGAGCGAACGAGCGAGAGCGAGGGAGCAGACAGAAAATTGACAGTCCCCCAAGAAAACAAATGTAAACAAAGTCTTGACACAAAACGATACGAAATAGAGGTTGCAGGATACGGATTTGAGGTTGAAATAACACAACAGGCACTGGTGATGACATTTTTTTTTATTACACACTCTTATAAGCATTCTAAATAATTATTCTCAACTATACATAAGGAGCAGGAATAGAACTTTTGAAACGGACGGAGCAGTTATATTTTCTCTTCATAACTTTGTGCAAAAGTATCGTATGCGCTTGCTGTATCTACGGCATAGAAACATTGAGATAAAATGAGTATATTGTGTTCTACTCGTTTAACTTTCACTAATTTCTGGTACAAAATGGTATACTATGTCTCTATATAATCTAAAAAAAACAAAAAGATTCATAAAGTCTGACTGATTTTTGATACTAAATTATATAAACATGTGGCAACGACCATCTACTGAAGACCAGGAAATTGTATGATATAAATCTTAGTATATTCTTCCGTTGTACATACGCCAGGTAAGTGAACGGTTATTCTGTAAATTAATTGCACTTTATTGTGGTCACAGACGTGTTGCTTTGAAATGGTGATATCTAATGATAATAATAATAATAATAATAATAATAATAATAATAATAATAATAATAATAAAAATAATAATAATAGTAATAATAATGATAATTATAATAACAATAATAAATATAGTAATAATAGCGAAAATAATAATGAATAAAAATAATAATAAAGGAATAATGAATAATAAGCAGAATAAGAAGAAAAATAAAGAATACAGTAATTACAACAACAATACTAGTAGTAGTAGTAGTAGTAGCAAAAGTAATAGCCGTGACAGTAGTAGTAGTAGTAGTAATATTATTATTAATAATAATAATGATGATAATAATAATAATAAAATAGAAATAACAATAATCATAAACTAAAATAATAAAACTCTTTACAAATTTATATTTAAATTCATAAATGTTTGATGAATGGGGCTGCTGAAATTAATTAATTTCTGTGAAATAATATTTTAAAACTTTGCAAACTAAGAATGGCAAAACGTAAAGATCAGTCAACTAAAAAGTATAAACCATACACTAATAACCTTATGATTAGTGATCTCTGAATATACATATGTATATTTACAATAGTTATTCCATAATTTAAAACTTTCTTTACATCTCATACCTCTCCAATAAAAAAAAAAAAAAAAAAAAAATGACGATACAATATGGATTTCGAATAAATCTGAAATCGGGAAGCATCTTTCTGACATCTTGCCTAATATGCCTTCACTTACGAAGGAACCAACAACACAAAAGAGCAGACAGACAGACGAGTTATAATGACAAAAAAAAAGGAAAATAAATATATAATTGTCCCCCCCGAGAAAAGTTTGACCTCTGTATCTCTGGTATACAGAAAACGTCAACCTGTTTACATTTTAGCTGATGCAGTTCTAAATTTCTGGAAATATAATGAAATGGAATCATATCTTCTTAAAAATCAAAGTGTACAAAGTGTATGTAATGTACAAGATTTATCTGGCAAGTTTCCGATATCTATTCTTGTGGCTGTTGTTGTGGTCTTTATAGCAAGTATAAGGTCTACAGCCTGAAAAACAGAACGCTTACGAGAAAAAGGTTTACAGTCTTAATAGACTCCGGTCTAGAATAACTGCAGCCTGTCTCTCAGCTTTGTGTACGTTTTCATAAATCGCGTAAAATGTATGTTTGTATGTGTGTGTGTGTGTGTGTGTGTGTGTGTGTGTGTGTGTGTGTGTGTGTGTGTGTGTGTGTGTGTGTGTGTGTGTGTGTGTGTGTGTGTGCGTTTGATTTGTTTTTTTTCAAATCACGTAAAATACATGTGTACATGTGTGTGAATATATGTACTTGTGGTTTCTATAGATGTATATGATTTATTGATAACCTCATATTTCATCATATCGCAAGCTTATCTTCTTGTTGTGGCCACATAGAAAGTATGCTTGCATGAAATTATATCACATTATACAAAATGAAAAAAACGAAATGTGTGTTTCTACACGAGTACTTATAATATATGATCATAATTTAGTTTTAGAATAGTAAAATATCAATGGAAAATATTTAAGACATTGGTACGTCAAATGAAATAATATAAATTGCCATTGGGTAAAAACAATGTTCAAAATATCCATACTTTGGACGGCACTTATCACAGGCTGGTAAATATATATTTCAATATGAGTTTTTAACATGAAGAATACTTTGCTTAAAATAAATATTTCACATATATTATTAACGTCAACTAACCATATAGTATTTGAATATAATATGACAAACCCCGCATTGTAAGTAAATAAATAGATTATGTAAACAAGTGCCTTTACCCATCATGAAAATAACCATATATCACAAAATAACTTTAGAACACAGAAGGCATAATATTATAACATTAATTTACCTCATTATGCAGGCTAACAATACAACCATTAACTCCCTATTTCAAATAACTCTGATATGTGAATATATATACACTCTATATATCCAATTCTATCTTAACAGAAACGTCAATAACAACTTATTTGCTCGTCACATTTCGATACATATCCACAGATCTAAACGATAAATACATATTTTTTCAACATTCGAACTAAAAACTAGTCGTGAATAAAGTCTTCAATTAAGAACTGAAATACCGTGTAAAGTTTCTAAAGTCGAGGCACGAAAATGGACGTTGTTTTGTTCACCTTTCTTGTGCAACTTCGGTTGGCTTCGGTGCCAGCTTGGGTTAAAGGTCAAGTGAGTTTAGCAAGAAGAGTTATATGTCTTCTTTCACTTCTTTTTTCTACATTTTTGTTCACGTGACCCCTCCAAATTATATATATGATTATATATTATATATATACATATAATAATATATATAACATATATATATATAGGCTTGTTTTTCTTTTTCAGAAAAAAATCTTGGCTGCTTTAAACACCACAAAAATCGTTTTCGAAATCACACGTCACGTGATATCTAAAAATGTTTTCTTTGAGGAAAAAATGGGCTTCGACCACCACAAAAAAATCGTTTTCGAAACCACTCATCACGTGACCAAATTCAATAAATTTTCCTTGAAAAAAAAAAATATTCCACCGCCAAAAACATTTTCGAATCGACCCTCCGCAATATTTCAATGTACAGTACAAATGTCAATGAGCTATGAAATGTGAATGTTGCATGAGGAACCGATTCCCTTCGTGTGGGAATGAGACCGCCAGAATTCCGCTCCAGGAAAATACGACGATAATTTGTGAAAATGCCGAATGTAGACCTACGAGCAGAGCCGCTACTACATCGTCCTTGTGTAGCGGGATCCCACGGAGAACTTGGAGCGAGCCGACTCCCGTATCGTTCGACCCTGTGGATGAAAGAAGTTTGCAATGGCTTCTGTGCGAAATTGCATAGATAACAACAACAACAACAACAAAAGTCTGCGACATCACTACTCACTGAAGATGTGATGGCAACAAAAAGAATAACACATGTGCTGAATCATTACTTAATGTACATAGGAAAATATGCAAAAGGATGGAAAAATGTGTGACATTCACCGCAAAATGAACAGATGAAAATATCAAAAATATTAACAAATGTGTGACATCAACACTAAGTGAAACGATGAGTAAAAGAAGCACTTGTTGTATGTCTAGTCATGAGTGTGTAGAATAACGGATAAAAATCTATATAAGTTCTATGGGTTCAAAATACTGCTTTTCTTGGTAGTCTTGTCAGCTTAAGAACCTCAGGAAAGAGATAATGGCAATCAGAGTGCTCCGTAATCCCCTGCCGATATTTCAACAAGTTTTATTAATGTTCTAAATCAAATTGTCTAAGGTCCAAGTAGACTGCTTGAATTCTACTTTAAATGAAAGAAGAAACAAATTGAAAGTAATTTACAAAAGGTGGGACATAATCTATTGGTAGAATCTTAGAATTTGCAAAAAAAAAAAAAAAAAAAAAAAAAAAAAAATAATAATAATAATAAATAATAATAATAATAATATAGAGTCGCACAATAGACAAATCAAATTATATTACAGGTCTTGTGAAGTTTATAGCAAAGGAAATTGTTCCCTTACTGTGTTTCCAGATAAATAAAAGTGAATTTTTCAGTCTATCGTCAGCTACAACAAGATAAAAACCGTTGCACACAGTTTACGGTCAAAAGGCCCTGTACCTTACCAATGATTAACATACATACAAAAAAATCAACGATTTCCATTTTCTTTCTTCCTCTGCTGACAGTTCTCCATTGTAGAAAATAACTGCATGACATGTCGACGGCCTTGCACTTAAAACTTATTTACATCGATTATTTTCCTATACCTGTAGTAAAAGCCACAAGTAAACATGCTATTATAATATCAATGCTCCAAATAGCGACAGTAAAAATGTTCAGCGATTTTGCAAACTTCCTATTGATGATCAAACAATCTAGATATATACTTTCTACCCAATAAATAAGCAGGATATTCTATCTCGAATAATCTAATGATCAGCACAAAAGATAGTACACAGTCAAAAAAGTTTTGCCAAATCTGTTTCGAATTCCGTTTCGAACATACGCATCATACCACAGTCTTTGTATAGAGCAAGAGAGAGAGTCGAAGCTTCAGCTCATGTCTCGACTTCTGCCCATCACTCTCGCCTTTGTTGATGGATTCCTTACCTCATTGGATAAATTATCGAGGAACTTTTGTATGTTTCTTAAGTCATTAGGAGACACGTATTTCTTCAGTGCTTGATCATAGTTCCCTTGTTGCGACAGCTGCTGG